GCTTATAATTACTTTACAAAATGTGTGTATGAACAAACTGGAATGGGCCCCTCAACGTGATAGCTGTTGGTGAGGTGAGATTACGGTAGATGTGTCAGATCAGCTGTTTCAACCGGCATCACTGCCACGCTCTTCAAAGGTTTTCTCAGCAACTCAGGGGAAGAACTGCAAACAAATTTCCCAGAATTCCCTTGACATACAGTTCTAGATTAGAGTGGGTAAAAGAGAGACACTGGAGTATGATTTGGAAATTCGGACAGAAGGAGGAGCAGGGCAATGCGTGGATCGTCCTAATGTTGAAAGCTGTATCCAAGTGAACTTCTTGAGAATCACCCCCCATTGGTGCTGAAGATTAGAAAGTCAGTAGGCGTTTCCCGGGGGTTCCTGAGATGCCCAGAAACTTTAGCAAGCTCTTGAGAATTATTGGACTCAGTGCTGAGGCTGAGGCTCTAGGTGGTAGCTTTCCTGACTCTCAGTCCTTCCTTAATTATGTAAGTCTCTCACTCCTTACATTAAAACACTTCATAATTTTAATATATAGTGTGTCTTCTTTTTTCCCTGTCTGGATTCACACTGATACCATACATAGCACTTTTCCTTTTAGTTTTTCAAATTTTCCCTGTTCCAGGATTTATAGATCTGTAATTTTAAAAAAGGGTCGGGATAATTCTTTTGATAGAAATAGGCAAGGGTGATGTACTTCTCTGCAGCCTTAGCACAGGCTTTGGAAATTCCCACCGACAGTGGACGCATCCAGGTTGTGCCTCTCCCTGTACTTTCTTTCCTTTCCCTCCAGCGGAATACCACTGTCAGCTCTGCATTTACTGCATATGCCCTGTGTGAAGGACAAATGTCAGGGGTGGCCTGGAAATCAAGGACACAGAGCTTTAATTGGTTTTCCCTTGCCTCTGTTGCTGAGTGACTCAGCCTTCCCTGGAAATTCTCGGTGTCTTCCTGTTAGATGGGAATAATAGTATTTACCCCCTCTACTTTATAGGGTTGTCTTGAAGATGATATGGTCTATGCTTGAAATAGAAATTTCTTCTCCCAAAGACACAATGGTCTATATAAATGCAAATTCTACTTCTAACAGCTACCAGATAAAGAGTGGCAATATGTGTCATGCAGGGGTATGTCCTATATGTTAGGACATCAGTTACGTAACATATTTAGAGACATTTCTTCAACAAACATTTCAATATTCTTTCAACAATGGGAATACCCACTGAAGACATAGGTAGACTAGATAGCAGCTGAGAACACTGATTCAAACCCATGTTCTCCATACTCTGAAGACATGCTTAGACCTACAGCAGAATCCTCAGAGAGATCTCAGGTAGACCGTTCTAAAACCATATCTATATCACAACCTACATCATACTGAGGATACAGTCCCTTCTTGGAGAGCTTCTATTCTAGTAAAACAGTTCCATTCATTGCCTCAATTAATCCTATTCCCTTTCTACCATCAAAACACCAGAGTTTGAAAACTATGACATTAAAATAAGTATCGACTTGGAAGTTATGCAATGTGGCTAAATCTCCCTGGCAATGAATCAATAGATACGGCTTCCATCCATGATAATTTCAGTTTCTGAAAGCCACAGAGTTGAGATCTGAGGTCCACAAGGCTGGCCTTTCACTTCAGTATGTGCTCACCCTAAAAAAAAGATGGGTCTCTTTTCTCAGATGCAATCAAATTACCTCGCAGAGGTATCTAAGTTACTGACTTTCCCTTGGGTGTTTATCGTTCATCATTTACTGAACTAATATTGATTGAGCTCCAATTAAGTATGAGGCCCTGTGCCAGGCACTGCCGTTACAGTGGTGAGCACATAGATATAATCTCCTCCACTCCCCTCAAGAGCTTATAGCCCACCTCGGGAGACAGTCCCTGAAAAGGTAAAACTGACCTAATATGAATGTGTATGGATGTGGGATCAGAGAACCCTCCTTGGAGTTATGATACTTAAGCTGATACCTGAAGAATGAGTAGGAGTCAGTGATGTGAGAGAGCAGAAAGGTTCAAATCTGTACTGCCCCTCAGGGTGCTTTCATTTAGGAGAAGTTCGAGATACACATTTACCTGACCTCTATGATACAAAGGAGAATATGAACAATTGTGCTAAGGAAATAGAAACAACTATTATAAGAACCTCAAGAAGGGGAAAAATCAAAACAGATGAGATTGGAAAAAAAGTAATGTAGGAAGCAGAAAATACTGTGCATTACTCTCCCTATGATGTACAGATTATCTGTAAGTTACAGATGGAGTCCTCTATCTCCTGATCATTATTCTGAGCCCAGACTTTCTTTGCATTTGAATCTAGAGTCCTTAGGACATGAATCTTGGGCCTATCATACTCGACATTGGAAGTTACATAAAAGGACAAGTAAAGGGAAAATGGCATGTATAGAAAAATAGCAATTTTCACATGAACTACTGCCTGTCAGTTTGTGTAGTTGTTGGTGCGGAATGAAAAGAGATTGGGAACTGGATGAATCAAAAATTATTTGCAAATAGAACTTCCGCTTACGATTTTATAGACCAAGTTTCAGACATCATGGAAGATTTCACTTGGGAGAGAATTGATATATTTGAGAATTTGCCTTCACAATATGAAAGTACCTCTCTGGATAAATGTTTGTAAGCTGTTTCCAGGAGGGTAGTAACAAATGATGCTCAAATAGTTTGCTAATTTATATGATCAGAAATTTAAAATAATTAAATATAAAAAAACAAGATGACACTAAGTGGTTTCATTCTCGGTGCCAAAAAAAACATGGCTTCCCCATTGGTCATTGTATGATTCATGCCAAGCTGAAATGCATCAGTCTCATCTTTTCAGTCCAATAATTTCTCAGCCTTAATGAGCTACTTTGCCTCTCTCTTTACTGGTCTCCTTATTACTGCAGGCACAAAAGGCCTGGCCATCATTTCATGATGCTGACTTGCTTTTTCACCATCCAAGTCCTTAGCACTGATCAGGCAACAAGTGCATAAAATGTATGGGAAAATTCCTCAGTAAAACAGAGACATTAGGTGTTGGCTCCCTTTAAATAACATTTTCCCCACTGATGTTGGGCTTTGATGTCATCCAAGAGCACCTACTCTATTTCCCCATGTATAAAATGCACCCCGTTTTGAAAAATTTGGGGTCTAAAAACTGGGTGTGTCTCATACAGTGGTTCTATGAGCACAAAAGCAAGCGTGAAAAAAGCAGGAAATGCAAGTAAAAAAAAAATCTACAACCACTGTATAAGATGCGCCCAGTTTTTAGACCCCCAAATTTTTCAAAAAAGTGTGCATCTTATACATGGGGAAATATGGTATTTCCACTCTAATTACCTTACGCATTTTTCCATATTCCCAATATTATTCGAAATGTCTTTAAAACTTATTGTCTTACATTTCATCTCTTCAAGGTTCAGATTTATTATTTTACTATTACAACGACAAGTGATCTTTGTCTTATTGATGATTAATATTTATTTGATCATGTCCTCCTGTTGTGAAATCTCAATTTCATGATCTCATCAACTTTTACATGTGGGCTTGAGGGCTCTGAGGCTTTAGTTTCTATGCAGTGTATTCAACAGGCTATAGAGTAAAATTACGCTCATTCGAACACAAGAAACTAATAAATAAATAAATCTAGGAGAACATGATGCTAGGGTTAATTTTTTTTTCTTTCTAGATAAGCTATTATTGTTTGCCTAGGTGAATTCCAAAATCAATCAATCAATCAATAAAGTCTCTAAAGAGATATACTCAAAATCTTTTAGAGGACATTTAGTGAAGAAGACCTAATCATGCCTCTCAAAATATAACATGTTGGCACTATTTCTTCTACCTGTCTTTGAGAAAATTGATTTTCACAAAAATTGACACATAATGAACAGAATCACCGTTGAACCCTAATTGGAACAATGTATATTTAAATGTTGAAAAGTTCTACTGACATCAAAGATGCAACACAAGCCCAAGTCACAGACATCTGGAACCTTCATTACTCTCTCGATCATTTCCTGCAGAAATGCGCCCTTTGCCCAGAGTCTACACGTCTTCTGAGAGGACCAGCTCCATCACTTTTCTCCATCTCTACAGGCCTTCCTCCTACCTACCAACCCTGCAATGTAGCTGGATGACCAAGCTGGAACAGTCCTTATTCAGTGTCCCCTGTGTGTTCTAGGGGAATTTCCTGCTTGTGGAAACAATGTTTAAAGTATGGAATGCCCTTAAGCTAAGCCTGTTCTCACTTACCCTTAGAAGGTAGGTTCACAATTAGAAAATGTGGCTGCAGTTATATTCAGGATAAAATGGGATAAACAAGTTATATTGCATGGAATTTTCCTGTCCTAATGAGTTCCAACAAAGGTGGTTCATGGAGTCCTGGGCCTAAGCAGCCAGCTTAGGGATAAGGCATTTTTAAATTATATTCCATACAGACTCTAGAGATGGCAATAGGAATTCAAGGCTTTGGAAAAACTAGGTAAGCCAAATTAATATTTCAAGGATCAGAGAATTCAGGGAAAATGACACATTGAGTCTCTTCCATGTTTCCAGGAAAATTGGAATTCCTTTCAGCTGTAATGCAGAGTTCATTCATTTTTACATTACAGATTTCAGCTATCATACTCCCAAACAATGATACTTTCACAAATATTAGTGAGTTTCTCAGTTTCCCTTCATCCCTTTTGCTGGACATAATAAATCTACTTAGTAATTTTTAAGTACTATAATCTCTTTATTTAAAGAAAAAAAATCACAAAATTATATTATGCCGTGAATTTATTTGCCTTCCCAGTAGACTGCCACTAAATTCTGTTTAATATGAGTTAAAATCGCTAGGTTTGACAGGCATGGTTTTCTCATCAAGGACTTAAAAAGCACTGTGTTCCTTCTAAAGTGCCGAGGCAGCAGTCACAAGCCCAGAGCCCCACACAGCCAAGTATCCCTCCCTGCAGCCACTGAGATCAATAAAAAGCTGAGCTCCTACCTCGGTGACTGGTGAGTTCCCTGGAAGCAGAAGGCAGGGGTGTGTAGTGGCACTCGGGAGAGGCAACCGCGCGGTCACTGGAAACCTGCGTGATAAAAGCAAATGTCAACGTGAAATAACACCAAATACTAAACACCTTTGTTTACCAAACATGTCTCCTCGGGATCTGTGTTTGGAGAAAATATTATTGACTGAGACTCATCTTAGGAAGCAAGCGGTGTCTGAGTTAATATATGGATGAGTGTAGGGTAGAATACAAAGCTCTGAGGGGCCTGGGTACAGGTGGAAGGGCTCTGACACAAAGGGGCTGTTTGTTTATTGTGCTGAACTGTGAGCAAGAGGAGGAAAAGAGAGAGGTTGGAGGCAAGAAATGGTGCACTTAGATTTCTGTCACTGGCATTCTTCCAGTAATTCCCAAGGATTAAAAGCTCACTGTGAGTAGACTTCTATGGAAACCAGTGAAGAGGCTGAGCTTTGCCCCCAGGGTGGATAGGAAAACCAGGGATGGTTTACATGGGCCCAGTGGCATGGAGACAGAGAGAACATGAAGACTTAGGACTCCACAGCATGAAGTCACCATACAGAAGGATATACTCGGAAGCCCTTGCAGACCATGCAGTTGGGGTTCTGGCTAAGTTTAAAAAAAGCATTGAGAAACCCCCCTGAAATTTGAAATATAATAGTTATCAACAAAACTTTGCTATTCCAAGGCCTATAACAAAATGATAAGAAATATACCTATGAAGTTGGGTGTTTTTGTACACAAACAGCTCTTTAATCATAAAACTCTATATGTGATGTGACCAGGCTGCTAGTTCTCTCTTTTCCCAAACTACATCCCTCAGGGCTAAGGCAGGAAGAGAGGACCACGGCTGTGAGGTCAGTTGTCACTCAGAACCAATGACCAGTATGTCACATTCCGAGTGTGGCTTCTTATAACAAAAACACTACCGCTGTAACTCTTATTGAGACTTCTGAATCAAATGTTACTTTTTTTTAATATCCAAAGAAGAACATCTGCTAGGATCAAAATCCTAAGCTTACAACCTTTCCAAGTTTCATGAAAAAGTAAATTTCATTAATGCTAGATTTTGCTTTCTGGAATAGGAAATACATTCTGTGGGGTATATTTGCCCTGCTAGGAGCAAGCCTTTCCTCCAAAGAGATTATCTATATTATAGGAATCAAAACTAAATAGGAGATTAGACCTACTTGCCAGAAAAACCCTTTAAACCCCATTTCTGACATTTGAGATATTTGATTAAGCAGCTTTCAGTGGAGACTTATATAAAGAGCTCTGAATGGTACAGAACCAGAAACTCTGTCCCTAAGGTAGAGACAGATTTCAGGGAGCATTACTTCACTCCGGCTCCAAAGGAAATATATGATGTTTAAACTTGATGCAAAGGTAGTGAGTCCAGAAAAATAGAAGTTCAGTCACTAAGAAGTTTTTTAAAAAGTAGGTAAGACTTGCTAGATACTACATCATTATCATACTTAGGATGCTACAATAATATAAAAGAGTCACAAATTAGATTAAAATTCAAATACTTAGAGTCACCACGTATTTCTCCACTTGGCATTCAAAGTCTCCTGTAATGCTTATGTGATAAATGAGACACAATGACAGCGTTCTAAATACGTCATCTATTCATTGCTTGAGGTTGGACATATGGGGTGGGGGTCTGGGGACCATCCTTCCACAGAGCTACCGTACTTCCCCCATAAGAGGCCATGCTTCTCTCTGTGTCAATGTTTTTGTTCCACTTCATCACCAAAAAGCCTAAAATTCCAACATGAATCTTAGGTTGCTACATTGTGATATTTCTTAATACTTCTAATCACAATTTGGGCTGTCGACAATTTAATGACAGCTTTTCCTAAAATTACTGGAAGAAACTACCTTTCAGCAAATACCTCTGACTGGGCAAAACATTCGAGTTTGGTAACCAAGAGTAAAATAGCTATTTAATTTTATTTCCAATTGTAGTCAAAGCAAAAAGTGTACAGCTCGAGTTCTGTCTGGCAGTCATCATTCTATGCGGAGCATTTAATTACTTTTCTGCTCAGTGTCCATTTACAAACTCAAGTCATGGAAAAAAACCCAGGAAAAGTACAATATTGCCAACCACGCCTTTCGATGGGACTTTCCATGGCTGGATGTTTAGGAAAACTACCACAAATCAAAATCCTAACTGCTGTGTCTTTGACTTGGTTTTTACTCAAATGAGGTCCATGTAATGTTTTCAATAGTGATATGCACACTTGGTCTCTGAAATATTATGCTTAGAAGCACAATTCATAAAAGCACAATTATCATATAAAAGAAGCAGATAAGACAATACCTTCAATTTGCATACTACCTGACCAAGAATAAAGAACTCCCCTTGAAACTGAAGCAATATACCCATAGTATAGCACGTATCAGGCAACAGAAACATAGGTGGAGTAATTTAAATAATGTGTTTTTGCTTTTAACCTGGATTAAGAAGATATGCCTAAAATGAGAGTAGGGAAATTTGGATAAATCTAACTCTTCAGAACTATAAAGACTCTTAAATCTTTGAGTCCTTGCCAAATTTCTTAACTACCTAAGGCAAGAATTATACTTTTACATTTTACTTTTTAAATTACTCCCAGTAGAAGATATTTGTAACATCTTCAATAAAATGTCAATTTCCAGAATACATAGGTCTCTCGGTAAATAAAAATACAATAGAAAAATGAAGAAAGGCACTGTCAGACAATTCAGAGAAGAGAAAACCGGAATGGTGAAAAAATAAAAGAGAAGATGGTCAAATTTACTGGTACTAAGGGCAGTGCAAATTAAAACAGTGAGATACAATTTTTCCACCCATGATATTGGCCAACTTTGAAGTCTGCTTTGCAGAATGAAGGGAAACAAAACCCCTACTTTCTCATCCCTTGCCAATAGAAATGTACATTGGTTCAAATACTTTGGAGAGTAATTTAGCAATACCTAATACAATTGAAAATTGGTACAGCCATTTCATTTAAAATATATACACTGAGTGAAATGGGAAATTTCACTCAGGTCTGTAAGGTGGAACATAAAACAATGTTTACTGCAGCTTTATTTATAAAAGAACACATTGGAACGAATTCAAATGTCTGTCAATGAGGAAAATAAACAAGTAAAATGTTGTATCATTATATGATGGAATAATATTTAGTATTTAAGGGCAATAAACCTGACTTATATATCTCAATTTGAGGAGGTCTAAATATTTAATACAGAGTAAAAGTGCAAGTTGCAAAATGATAAATATAGTACACTATTTATGTAAATATGTAGTTCTTTGATCTCATGTGTATGTATAGACAACTAAAAATTATAAAATTTATACACAAAATTTATGAAACTGGTTGCCTCTACCACTGGGCAGAATAAGAGTACTGGAGCTAATGGGATGAGGGCACCTCTAGTTCATATATAAGGTTTATTTCTTTTATTTAGAAACAAGACTTGAAACAAGTATGTCAAAATATTAGAAAACTGCAAAATTTTAAAATCTTTTCTATATTTTTGAAATTTCTTAAAATTAAACATGAAAATTGAAAAATAAAACAGACTCCTGTTTCATCTTGGGTCCATACAGTCCTATACTGATATGAACTCATAATTACAGGAAATTTCCTCCAACAATTTTCAAGTACTTGCACAACATGGATTAGGGCTATCTCTGGGTGGCTTTTTTTGTGGTGAAATATCCCATTTCTAGTTCTTCTAAAACTATTGAACATGACAATAGACTGGGAAAAAGCTGTGAAATAATAGTAAATATGTATTTCCTTCACGCCAAGGCTTGAAATTCTCATTCCAGCTTGATGAGTTCTTCCACTTAAGATTTGTCAAAGCATCCTGAAGGTTTCTGCATTTTTCTCCTACTCACAATTTGAGAGTTGTTAATAATTTTTTAAACTCACATCAATAACGATAATAGTCACTAATATACTGCACTCTGCAATTTTCATAAAGTAGGAAGGAAGGTAGAACTTTGGCAACCTCACTGGAAAAGATTCAATGAAAGTACAGTACACACTATAAGAGACTTGCAAAGTGAGAATTTAACTCTGCGGTTACAGAAAACAAACATCTTCGGATGAATGTGTAAAATTCAAGCCCCTTCACACTGGGTTCATTTCATGGAAACCTGGATTCCAGTGGATATGTCTGAACATCATGGATGCCCTGAAAGAACATAATACAGACCACAGGAGGAGAGATTTGGCAGGCTTCAAAACAAGAAGGGGTGGCTACAAAGTTGTCTAATAGCCATAAATCTCCTACTATTTGTCACAAAACATCATCTAAGACCACAGCTCCACAACTCATTCCCCATCACTCAGTTCATGTGGAGTGCTTTGGCGTGCTCACTCACCCTTAAATCATACACCATATAAAGTGATCCCCGGTCTGGGAAATGTGTCAGCCTCTTTCAAGTAAGAGCAATCTTCACTTTTCATCATAATTCATTCCCTGAAACTGTGGTATAAAGCTGACTCTTCTAAAAACATTTATTTTTTTCTCAAAAGAAAAAGCATCACTCATTTAGTTATCAAGTATTTAATAATTACCTACTCTATGCCAAGCCCTGTGCCAGGAATACCAAGAAAAGTAAAACAAGGACCTTGGTGGTATTTCCAACTCATCAAGAAAAAAATTACAACCATGATTAACACTGGTTCGGAAGAGTCACCAACTCATAACAGGACCCCCATACTCTGCATTATCACAGAGCTTTGTTCCTGACCTCTATTATGGCGCCTGAACACTTGGAACAATAATTATGTCCTTGCTTGTTATTTATTCAAACTAACAAAGAGCTTTCAAGATTAACTGTATTAACTTCCAAGAGTAACTATACTATTAACCCTTGTACCCAACATCCTGCCAAAAAAACAGAAAGAAGTTAATGCATGATGCTTGAATGAATAAAATATTTGAATGTCAAAGACAAAACCTTGCTGGTAATTTCACTCACATTTTTGTGTGAATGGTAATTCACACAAAAATGTGAGCCAAGTTGCCAGAATCAGAGGCAAAGACTTGCCAGCATCTGAAGAATGAAGTTAGAAGTCAAAGAACCAGACTTAAGGTAGAGCCATCCAACCTGCCCACAGATCAGGGGAGCATGCGTTTCAGTGAGAAACAAGACAGAAACCTCCACCATGTACACATGCATTGCATTGGGAAAGACAGACAGGGGTGGGAGCAGAAACAGCCATATCTTGTCCAGAGCCAGAAGCCAAGAAATTGGGAGGTAAAAAACGGGCGCGGGGGGAAAAGGTAGAGATGAAGGTGAGTGAGTAACCAAGGAACCAAGAGGGAGCCCAAAGGTACCAAAAGCTGAGTTTGGGCAAGAGCTGAGCATTCAGCTGAGTTAGGGTGCTAAAGGGAAATTCAAACAGGAAGTCAGTCAGAGAAGGGATAGGATGCGGTGGGAGGTTGGCGGGGAAGGAGGAAAGGGGAGGGTTGTGTCAAAGGCCTCTGTGGAGTAAGGAAGCCCTTTGTTGACAACAGCCTGAAGCTTCCCATTGTTTTTTGTTTGTTTGTTTGTTTGTTTTTAATTAATTTCAGGTGTACGAAACAATGTAATAGACATTTACACCCCTCACAAAGTGATAACTCCCCCCAGTCTACTACCCCTCTGACATCATATATAGCTGTTACAATTCCATCAACTCTACTCACTACGCTGTGCTCCACATCCTGTGGCTATATATATATATATATATATATATATATATATATATATATATATATATATA